GATACTATGGTTGAAGATCTTACCAATCAACTTAAACAGGTCCACAGCGAAGCCAAGTTTCATCGGGATCAAGTTGTTCCATTTGACTTTCGAGTTGTACACGTGCCTTTTCTGCTCGTTCCTTTGCTCTTCGTTCTTCTTCCAATACATTCGCCATGACTTTCTTTTCTTCTTGTACAGTGGATTTTGCTTTTTCCATTTGATCATTTGCTTCGCTCAATTGTTTGCGTAGGCTCTTTATTTGATCAAGATATTCCGTTTTTTCGCGTTGTAATACTAAAAGTTGTTGTTTTGCTACACGCAAATTGGTTTCATGATCATTTATTGAAGCCTCAAGAGTTGTCACGAGTTGTCGACTTTGTAGGTTTTCACCTTCAATTTCTGAAACCTTTTTGTGCAGTCTCTGAATTTCTAATGAAAGGTCTGATGACGCTATTGAATCTGATCTGTTTCGTATACGAGATGTAGAGTTTTGAGGAATTGGCGGTAAAGGTTGATTTGGTGGTGGCACTGGTGGTGGTTTAGTAAGGCTTGGATGTCGTGAACCTTTCTTGTTATTGGCATCCGATGAATTAGATGATGACGACGTTGTTGACAGACGTGTGCCACCAACGGCATCCAAATCTGGTCCAACAAATGAACTTCGATCATCATAAGATCGATTTTCAAGTTCTGTAATCTTTTCTTGAAGAGTCTTGATTAGCATGTTTTGCTGTATGATCGTGTCATCTTGACGACTGATTTTATTTTGCATGGTAAGGCCATCTCTACTAGGACGCCTTACAGCCGGCATAGCATGACTAACTCTGTCAATATTTGGAATATTACCACCCATCTCTCTGATCTCTTGTTCTAAACGATTATTATGTTCTATCAAGTGCGCAATCTCTTTTTCCATATCTCTAATTTCATCCAAAGAGTCTTGTTTTAACTGAGCATGCTCCTTTTCGAGTTTAGCAATTTGTTCATTTAATCGCGATATATGTTGAGCAGCTTTGTTTCCACCAACAGAACGTAATTGTTGCATTAATGATTCGATCTTATGATCAAGTTTACCACGTTCTTCAAATGCAGCTTCATTTGCTTGTTCTAGTAGATCCTTATCGGATTGAAGTTCTTGAATTTTTAATTTTAGATTCTCAACAGATTCTTCATTGATATTAGTTATTCCTGATCTCAATTGAGCCAATTCTTCTTCCAATAAGTTGATTTTGGCATTTACTTCCGAGACACGTTCTTCCGCTTTGGAGATCTTAATATTGAGGCCATCATTGATCTGTCGTAAATTTTCATTTGCAGAAGCAAGTTCAGCAAGAGCTGGATTGGTAGATCCAGAACCACGTACAGAACTCCTATCAGTTGTGGAAGCGACTTTCTGGGTCTCTGCAAGAGCAGTTTCCAATTCAATTATTCGTTGCTTTTGCTGTTTTGATAACGTATTTGTATCTTCAAATTTGGCTACAGTCTGTGAAAATTCTTCAGCCAATGTTTCAAGATCTTTTTGAAGTTGTTCAACTTGTTGTTCAAGAGTTGCGTTTCGTTCAAGGCTTTCCGTCCTATCAGACTCTAGCTGTTTAATTTTCTTTTCCAAAGTCACAACTTGATCCCGATGAAACTTGGCTTCGCTGTGGACCTGTTTAAGTTGATTGGTAAGATCTTCAACCATAGTATC